ATCATAGTGAAACGTCCCCACCTTCCGTCAGAAACATTAGCTGCATCTGCTGCAAGGAAAGTTGGTTCACTGCGACTAGTCAGAAGGTATTTCTCGTCTGAGTCCATATTACTCATCTACAAATCTACCATTCATTCTTGGGTTGAATACTGTTGCCATATCTGGTCTGGTGTTCCTGCTGTCCATATCGAAGTTCTCAACAAGATCAAAAGAAGAATCTGTAATGCAATCTGTCCTGAATTTGCTTCTCGACTTCAGACACTTTCTCAAAGACATGATGTGCCTTCCGTCTGTCTTTTCTACAAATATTTTTATGGTTACTGCTCTGACGAGCTTTTTTTCCCTGCTGCCCTGACTACAGAAATTTAAGCGTGCTACAATAATAGCATCTAGGTCCCACCCTTTTACTGTTGGAATAGTTAAATGCAACCGCCACTTCTAATCTAATAGTTTCTTTTCACGCATTTACCAACATTGAAACTCCCTCCCTACCACTTGATTCCCTGATAACTACAATCTTCAAAAAATTAAATGCAATGTCAATCGCCATAATCTGTTGCCATGCCTTTTTTCCCTGTCCCCAATCCACCTTCACACACTCTTTTCTCTTACTTCCACTCTCCGTAATCCTCTGCATATTATTTACATTCCTGCTTTGATTCAGGTGAAATGTTTAATATATATATATATATATATATATATATATATATGTGTGTGTGTGTGTGTGTGTGTGTGTGTGTGTGTGTGTGTGTGTGTGTGTGTGTGTGTGTGCGTGTGTGTGTGTGTGTTTACAGCCTGTATGACGCCTGCGTCTTATCATAACGACCCGGGTTCAATTTTCGTTAGTGGATGAGTAGTGAATGCGCACTGCTGATGAGACAACACGGACGTCCAGTGCTTTCCGCGTTCTGTTGAGGTTTCTTCTAGACTCGATGAATTACAGTTATCTGAAATCCTCCTAATAATTATAATAACCTGTATATATATATATATATATATATATATATATATATATATATATATATATATATATATATATATATACAGAGTGAGGCAGAGAGACAGACACATAAAATAAAAACGATTTCCTTTCGTTAATATTACCAGAAGAGAAAAATTCTCAGTGACATGGAAAACTTCGTATTATTTAAACTTTATTTGTACCTATACTTCAAATCAGAAAGAGACAATTAAGCGTTCTCAGATTCTGAAGAAAGACTGCTTGGAAAATTTAACACGCGCAGGATGTATTGAATGAAATAGATAGAGAAGTTAACAGCGATTAACTTATCTAATGACTTTCTGTGAAAGAATGGCAATGGGGGCGACACAGAGTGATGCTAAAAATTCAAACGTGGCTTAGAGCAACAAGAGGCAGGAAGTTAAAAAGTGCCATGTTCTATGATCTGAAGGAATGCAACAAGACGGAGAAATGGCCATGCTAATATACATTTTACCAACTTTTATGATCTACTTTTCTTTTTTTTTTTCTTTGTGTTTTCATTTCGTTTTTTTTTTCTCTCAGTTGTGTTCTTCAGTTTCATTTCCCAGACCTTTACTGCAGACATCTTTTCGATCTTTCTTGGATGTCCTGCATTCGAGAATTTTAATCCAGATTAATTGTATCTGTGTAAATAACCCTTTGCAGGATTGTAACTTATAAATGTACAGAGTTTAGGACCCGGCAGATGGTTGGCTGTTCTTTTATGTGCCCTGTCTTTTCAGGACATGGGTGTTCATCTCTCTCCACAACTTCATTTCCTCAGCGTCATATCCCTTGTAACTGTAAGTAATGCTTGTAGACTTACTCTCCCTACAAGCCCATAGTATGCCATCTACGTAGGCATTTTGCTCATTGTTTTCTTTTGTTTCTTTACTCTTCAATCTATACTCTAAGAGCCAAATTCTCCAAATTCTCCGTCATCTTTATGTCTACTAGAAATTCAAGTTTCTTTCTGATTTTACGTTTTAGTATTTTTTGTTTGCATTTTCCTTATAGTTTCCGTTTACGTTATTCGCAGCATCTTTCTGTAGACCCATGTCTTAATCTCCTTTTCAACTGTGCAGAAATTAGCCAGTATTCATTTTCGTGATTGATTTTACGTAACATTACGTAAGTTTTTATTTTGTCCCCAATGAAAAAAATTCATGTTGCTTAATATTTTGTTTAGCTTTTAGAAAGCATCTTTTGATATGTCATTGCACATTCGGATCTTAACGTCGCCCTTTCCATAGTCCTATTATATCATTTTCCAGACGCCACTTTCTTTACTTAATTTTGACGCTTCCAAACAGTATCTCCCTTTTTGAACGGTTCCACCTTGCTATATACCCATAATTCCAGAAAGAAATCCTCTCTCTCATTTACCTTCTCTTAATATGTAAGGTCATCGATCTTGACGAAAAACGCTCCTCCATAGCCTGTCATGTAAATAATCTTTTTCTTATTTCAGAAACAGAGATTCTCGGATTATGCAGTTAACGAAAGGCATACCTCTTTCACAGTTCAACTTTTATTATTTTATTTCTATTTTATGGAATAAATATTTCATAAAATGTCAGATAGTTTTATATTTTGCTTCCGTTACGTGTCGTTTTCCTGAAAAACATTTAGGGTGATACAGTTAGCTCCTCGTTACCACTTCACAAATCAATTTGTATTTTGGGGTAATTAGAAGAAAGATTTTTAGAATTTCTTTCAAAAAATCTATTTCTGGTAATATTTTTTTTCAAAATATCTATTTCTGGTAATATTTTTTTTTCCAAAAATCTATTTCTGGTAATACGTTTTTTTTTTTTAACAAAAATCTATTTCTAGTAATATTTTTTCTTTCAAAAATCTATTTCTGGTAATTTTTTTTTTTTTTTCAAAAATCGATTTCTGGTAATATGTTTTCTTTCAAAAATCTATTTCTGGTCAGAATTTTCCTTCGCTGGTAATGTTTTTTTTTTTAAAAAAAAAATATGTATCGCTGGTAATATTTCGATTTCAAAACTGTATCGCTGGTAATCATTTTTTATTACAAAGTATTTCTGGTATTAAACCTAATTTCTGCACTTTTATGGTGTTTTGACTCGAGTTTGGGCTTAAATATTTGCCCATAGCTAGGACCTTAACAGATGCTACCACCCCCGGGTCAGGATGGACCTGGGAACATCAACAATTAAGAGGTGGTTCCACGCTTCTCAAACCCTCCTGGTCAGAGGCCTTGCTGTTAGACGTAGTTTATCGTCATACCCAGGACGCGGATGTAGTTTATCGTCATACTCATGACGGCTATGATCGTCTTTGACAATACATAGAAGAAAAGATTTACTAAAAGCGCCGCTGTTTTGTTTTAAGGAAAAAATTGGAAAATAATGGAAAAGAAAAAAAAGAAAGAAAGGAAGAAAGAAAGGGAAATGAAAGCAGCCATAAGACTTGCATCTCTGTTTAACTAAAATGGAATGAAAATTCGTCAATTTTTTTATCTTTTCATCTTACTACTTTAAGAGATAAACTTCATTCATATTTATAATTGAATTAATCAAAGAATTAATCGAAGTAATAGAAAGTCCACGGCTATTTTGTAGTCGTGGCCATTGCAAGGAGTTTACTTAATCATTAAATTACTAGATTAAAAGCCGCACTCTGTGCGGACTTTTCAGCTAGTTTCTGCGGAGGGATAATTGGACAATACTAAAGGGAGCTCTGGTCCAACTTAGAAAACAGCAATGATAATTTTGAAGAAATAACTTTGAATTCCTCATTTCACTCCATGGAAATTCAAATCCTCAACCTGATTCGGGCTATAAGTCCAGTTCCGACCAAAATACCAATATGGTCCGAAATTCCAATTCAGGCGAAAAATTTAGTTCTTCAAATCACAAACTCCGTGCAACTTCAAAATCTCACGTCAGCAAATCTCTCATTTTAACTCTGATTCCTTGGAATTTTGAAGAAAGAAAATCGAGTTCCTCAATTCATAAAGTTTTAGAGATATTTTAAAATGAATTTAAAACAAAATCTTTTAAATTCGCCAAATTTTTGTGTTACTTTAAACTCAATATAAATTAAAAACTTCTAAAATAACAATTTTTTAAATCTATTTTAAAATTTGAATCTTTACCTGTTCCCTCCTCATCCAGTCGCTAATCCTAATGCTCTAAGCAGAAATGAAGAACAGATTTTCAATCCTGGGATAATCCGCATTCCAAAAAGATATAATATGCCTATGTAGAGCAAGTGTAGCCCGATTTAGAGTGATTTCAGAAACAAGAACGGACGGAATTTGCCGTTTATTTATTTAAAAAACTACGATTCTTCAGAAAATTCAAATAGAAAAACCGTGAAATTTTCACTGGTATTTCTAGTTTTCATTTAACCGCTTAAACTATTTTAACGCACTTATTTTTTTCACTGTTACATTGCTACTCTTTCCGTAAGCATTTCATTTAAATTTCATTTAATTCTCACTATACATCTTCACTGTGTTTTCTTTTTCTTAATCCCTAGGGTCATCTGAATCTCTTCCTTGTTATTTTGTTATATTCCCTTGTTGAAAAGTTTTACACCACTTTACCAAGTCGCTTACACATCAAATATAACGCAGACTCTTCTCCAAATATCTTTCTTCCATATATTTTTAAAATGCATTCTCTTCTTTCTTCAGTCTATTATATCATTATCTGATTTTTCCAATCTTATTTTGTCTTTTCTTTTTTTTCGACCTGTCCTTCGTTCGTTCTTTCCTTCTAACATTACATAATTTTCATTTCAGGATAAGAGAACACGCGATTCTTGGCTCCGAGTTCAAATCTTTGACACTTTACCAATCACCGCTGTTTTCTTTAAGCGCAAACCACAGTATTTTAATGTGACCTTTGCGATGAGATGTCGTTCAATAGAAACGCCACCGCCGGCAACCTGCAGTGAGGACACAATGATAGTTATTAAACAAAGTATTGTACAATACGAAAAATGGTGGATGCAAACACGCAAGGTGCTCTGATTGTTTGCATTAGAAAGAAAGAAAGAAAGAAAGAAAGAAAGAAAGAAAGAAAGAAAATATATAAACGGAATGAGGAAAGAAGGAAAAAAAAAGAAAAAAATATGCAATCGGAATAAAAGAAGAAGAAAAAATATCCGAACGGAATAAAGGAAGAAAGAAAAAAGAAAGAAAGAACCCAAAGGGAATAATGATAAAAAGAAAGAAAGAAAGAGTATAAAGGGAAACAGAAAGAAAGAAAGAAAGAAAGAAAGAAAGAAAGAAAGAAAGAAAGAAAGAAAGAAAATATATAAACGGAATGAAGAAAAAAGGAAAAAAAAAGAAAAAAATATGCAATCGGAATAAAAGAAGAAGAAAAAATATCCGAACGGAATGAAGAAAGAAAGAAAAAAGAAAGAAAGAACCCAAAGGGCATAATGATAAAAAGAAAGAAAGAAAGAAAGAATATAAAGGGAAACAAAAAGAAAGAAAGAAAGAAAGAAAGAAAGAAAGAAAGAAAGAAAGAAAGAAAGAAAGAAAGAAAATATATAAACGGAATGAAGAAAGAAGGGAAAAAAAAGAAAAAAATATGCAATCGGAATAAAAGAGGAAAAAATATCCGAACGGAATAAAGAAAGAAAGAAAAAAGAAAGAAATAACCAAAAGGGAATAATAATAAAAAGAAAGAAAGAAAGAGTATAAAGGGAAACAGAAAGAAAGAAAGAAAGAAAGAAAGAAAGAAAGAAAGAAAGAAAGAAAGAATGAAAGAAAGAAAGAAAGAAAGAAAAAGAATATAGATAAGAAAAAAAGAAAGAAAGAATAAAAGAAAAAGAAGTTAACTAAGGAAAGAAAGTATACTATAGGAATATAAGACAAAGGAAGAAAAATAAGATGAAATGAAGAAGGAAATAAATTGCCGGAAAAAAGTAAAAGAAAATGATTTAAAAGCAACTAAAGAAAATTGCCGAATCATTTTTGAGGAAAGCTTACGTCGTTAAAATTTTCGTCAATTGTTTTTTTTTTTTTTTATAATTTTAGATAAGACAATATCACTTTGCCTTCATTTATTTAGCATTTAAATCCATGGATTCTATAATTAAACCGAGAAAGTTTATCAAATGAACTTTCAGCTAAAATAAGAATGCCAAATATTTGATTTAAATCTTTCAACGAATGATTTTTTTTTTTTGGCCTTGAAGATAATTTTTTGGAAATTACCATCTTTTCACTTGGTAGTGTATTTTTACACACATACAAAGATTAAATATATATAAATATATATATATATATATATATATATATATATATATATATATATATATATATATATATGTATGTATATGTATGTGTATTTATTCGTTTGTGCCTGTTCATTATGTAACGTTCCAGCGACGTAGAAAAAGAAGAAACCTTTTTAAAGCTTGAATATATTTGTAGTGGCTCACTCAATAACACGCGCGCGTGTATACACACACACACAGACACACACACAGACACACACACAGACACAAAATATATTCAAGCTTTAAAAAGATTTCTTCTTTTCTACGTCGCTGGGACGTTACATAAAGAACAGTCACAAACGAATAAATACACACACACATACATACATACAAATATATATATATATATATATATATATATATATATTTTTTTATGTATGTATATATGTATATATATATATATGTAAATATATATATATATATATATATATGTATGTATGTATATGCATGTATATGTATATCTATATATATATATATATATATATATATGTATATATATATATGTATATATATATATATATATATATATATATATATATATATATAAATATAAATATATATATATATATATTTATATTAAGAGAGAGAGAGAGAGAAAGGGAGAGAGGGTGATTGAAGAGTAAGTCCCTATTTTGTGAATGATGGACTCTCCCGTCTTGTTAAAATGAAAGATAGACGGGAGATGCCATGAAGTATAAAATAGGAAGTTACATTTCAATCACCTTTTAGTGAGTAAGAGATTTAAGAAGTAGGCAATATATATATATATATATATATATATATATATATATATATATATATATATATATATGCGTGTGTGTGTGTGTGTGTGTGTATACACTCACTAAAGTCTCGTATATTCCACTGGGGCGTATTGTGATGTCCTAAGCGTAGCTTTAATGTGGCACAACGCCGAAATTATAGTGCTCCCAGTAGGGATCGAAATCATTATTCCCTCGTAACTGATCTAGTGTGGCAAGCTTGCTATCGATTAGACCACGTTGAAGTGCCCCTAATTATTTTGTAAGCGTAACTTAGATGTGAGACAACCCCGAAATTATCCACCCAACAGTCAGGATCATGTTCTCTATCCAAATGATTTTTCCAATTGTAGCTTAGATGTGAAAAAAGACGATAGTGTGAAGCACCCAATCATGATCGAACTCACGACTCAGTCGTAACTGAATTCGCGAGACAAATCTTGCTGTGACACTATTTAGCGATCGTTTGAAAATGAAAAGCGATAAATAATTAAAGCGAGAAGAAGCTGAAATAATTAAGGCGATAAGAAGGCGAGAAAAAGCTGAAATAATTAAGGCGAGAAGAAGGCGAGAAGAAGCTGAAATAATTAAGGCGATAAGAAATTAACCGAGAAAGACATCAGCTGAAGACCACCCCCAAGGAGATATCATTATTTTTTGGAAAGTGACCACCTGATTTATTGTCCAAACCTGGACATGATAAAAGTTTGTTATCGGAATGGATAATTGGATACAGAGTGCCAATACGTCCAGTTAACCACCCACTTGACGCTGGCGAAAATCTCGTTGATAAAGTCCAGACGACATTCGGTTAAGATAGAGATTAGGAACCAATCTACGAGTCGTGGGAGGTCTGCTCAGGGAAGAGAAAGAAAGAAGAAAAAAAAAGGAAGATAATTTTTTTTTCCTTTGAGCGATAATTGCAAACACCCACGCTGCTGAGCGTTCATTGGCTGAAGGGTGGCGTGAGCGGTAGGCGAAGGTAAACTATGAAGAAGGAGGGGGGCCTGTTGATGCCTCCTGAAGGGATTGGTGTGAGATACCACTGTGAGAGAGAAGAGGAACCTGTTGACGCCCTCTGGGGGGATTGGTGTGAGATACCAATATGAGAAAATAAGAATTTGGGAGGACGATTCTCTTAAAGTAGAAAGTAATGGACTTCCAAAAATGGAAAGTAATAAATTTTTCTGTCCGAAAACAAAAAAAAAAATCCTTATTGTGGATTTAGAATTATCAAGGAACCTCAAACCTCGACAAGCCCACCCCGGTTTTGGTCGCAGCGAGTGGACGGGAGTAACACAGAACACAGTTGGAGTTGGAGACGGAGACGCAGACGAAAAGTTGAGCTGTGAGCTCGCAGACCAGCCTCGCAGGAAGCTGACTGAAAGATATCCACGCATCCCGACTTCAACTTCTAACCAAGAACAATTTATTTTTGAAGAACGACTTAGATTCACACCACCAAAACAAGTTTTGCGAATATCGCCTGAAGATACATCAAAAACTAGTTTCTTGAAAAAACAACTTAAGATGTTAAGACTCGCCTAACAAACACAAAATGTCACGAATCCGTATTAGCGGTTTGGGAGAAAAACTGTATTCAGCAACCAGATATAAAAATATTTGTTATTCTTTTTTTAATACATTTGAACTTTTCAAGTTGTTACTTTATTTTCTTTTACATATACTTGTGTGGTGTTACCTTTGCTCAGACTCGGCTTGCATTGCGGCCGGCGACTGATTGATTTCGTCTACCTAAGATCAAATCACAACGTGGGTAGGTTAGACTAGAAATCAAAGCAGTTAATTCGGTAACCAGACGTTGGAGGCGAGCTGGGAACGACAAAGCTGATACCGAATCTAACCAGATTCCCATCCGAATCAGCCAAGGGTTAGAACGTCACATTTGGTGCCGCGACCAATACCAAGTCACATTACCCGTCACAGGAGGGGACGGCGACGGGGCCGAGAGGCCACGGGTTGACGTCACATTGCTAACGATTGTATCAAGTCGAATTCCTCCGTTGAATTATCTACTGCGCTCAATAGGAGTTGCTGGCGTGTAGTAGTTTTTTCAGAGATAGAAGATTATAGCCCAAAGCCCAAGCGGTTTTGATGTCAGTGTCGTCTTTCTCTTAGGATTGCTTAACAATTAAGAGACCAGTTTGCCTGCTATTTTATCCATAGCTGGTGGAAGAAGAGACGAAGAGGCGATGGATTCATAGTTTTTCCAAAGGTATTTGCGCGTAAGAGATTATAAAGATGTCGAATGGATGTATTAAACAATTCTTTAAGGCACCTAATGTTGGACAATTTTTTTCAAAGATGAAGAAGAGACTCGAGGTGACAGCGATGTTGTTCTAGAGAAGGATGCTAAACGATATCATGGACCGATCGTGTGAGCAACGATGAGGTCTTAGTGAGGATGCAAACAAGGAGGAGGTTTATACTTAACATCAGGAAGGGGCAGCTAAAGTTTCTGGGACACATAATGAGGAAGGAGGGCCTGGAGGATATGATACTCACGGGTCGAATGGAGGGAAAGAGAGACAAGTGAAAACAACGCGTGACTTAATTGCCGGGCTTAAGCAAGTGGATGACAGAACGTGGTCTGGGAGAGGAAGCAAAGGACAGGAACTTGTTGAGAACTGCAAGGGATAGAGGGAAGTGGAGAGACATGATCGCCTACGTTCTGAAAAGACATGGCATATAAAAAGAAAAAAGAATTAAGAAGCAACCATCATCTATGATCACACCTTTAATTTTAATCATATCACCCCAAGTAATATGGGAATGCTACTAGTGCGCATGGGTGTTACAGGGAGTGAAAGGGAAAGAGAAGACTGTGAATTGGGTGGATTGAAGAAAGATAAATAGATGAAAGGGATTAAAAAAAAAAAAAACAGAAGATGGCGATTGATGATGCATTTCAATTTTTGAAGATTGTAGTTTTCAGGGAAGCAAGTAAACGGAAGAGTGTGCCACGAATGTGAAGTGCAAGAAATGAAACTGTTGGAGTAGAAGTGGTTGTTGCATTTAGATATTTCAAACGTAAAACGGTAGGACCTAGATGACAAACTAGTAGCAAGCTTAAATTTAGGTAGTCGGGAAACCAGGGAGAAAAGATCGTTAGACTAGTTAGAGAGAAGCCACATGGCATCGGCAAGAAAGGGACTGATGATGACATGACTGGTCAGTACACATTATATTACAGATCTCGAGATGTACAAAAGGAGAGCTAGACCAGATCTAGCAACAGTATTCAATGCACGGACGAATGTTAAATGTGCAAGATGGATTCAGACGGGAAAAATGTTCTTGTACGACACAGTGACGCAACTTTCCTTGCACTAGATGCAGTTATTAATTCGATGTAGTCGATCCGCTTCTTGTCAAAGGATAACGTGAGTCCAAGAAGACTCAGTGTGTTGATCTCCTAGAGTCTAGTGTCAGCCATGCTGATAGCAGACAGAAAAGGTTCTCTCTGGTGAACAATGGATTGCACGATAATGCCACTAGGACGTAGGGAATTGTATTGAAAGGAAAAGAGAAGATTATAATGTGGAAAAGTGGGGGAGAGACAATTAAAGGAAGAGGATTCAGAAAGACAGAAGATGACTATTAACACTGAGTTCACATTTTTGAAGGTTGTAGCGAAGCAAGAAATCAGGCATTCCAAGAAGTACGAAAAAAAATTTGGTCGCATATAACTAATTCAACAGTAAAAAGATGAGACCTAATTACCAATCGAGTAGCATGTAGAGACACTAACAGCTCATCAGAAGAATTACAGTGAAAATATTTGCAGAAAATTAACAGAGAGAAACCACGTCACGTCGGTGGGAAAGTGACTGAAGCCAAGATGCCAGGTCAGGGTTGATTCCATTACAAACCCTTTTTTGAATATTCTCAAGAATTTTGAGACATATAGTAGGAACACCAGACCAGATATGGAAGCAGTATTCAATGCACCAACAAATGGTAGGCTTATAAATGTGCAAGATCGATTTTGATAAGAATAATTGTCTGGCACTACACTGCGAACCAAATGTCCTTGGAATAGATGTAGCAATTGATTCAATATGACCACATCACATACTATCAGTGGAAACGTCAGTCCAAGAAAGAGCAAATTGTTGCACCCCTGTAGTTTCGTAATAGGCATGTTCGCTGTGGTGTTTAAATGAAAGTTGTTTTTATTTTGGATGCAATAAAATGTACAAGCCATTCCTTGACCCAGTTAACCACTGATTGGGTTTCATTTTTGAGAGCATATATATATATATATATATATATATATATATATATGTGTGTGTGTGTGTGTGTGCGCGTGTGTGTGCATAAAGACAAAAGGAAAACTTATCTTAGCCGACACGTTTGGTCATTTGACGGAATTTATCAACGCAAATCAGAGACAAAACGCGTTGTCTATGATAAGCTTTCCGTTTATCTTTATTTATATTTTCATTTATCAGATATATTTTAGTTATATCTGATTTTTTTACATTTGAGTCGTCGGTCCGCTTATTTTAAACAGAATTTATTTCGTCTACCGATTTGCGTTCCGTAAAAAAAAACTAAGATAGATAGATAGATAGATAGATAGATAAACTGAGATAGATAGATAGATAGATAGATAGATAGATAGATAGATAGATAGATAGATAAATTTCACCTGTTGTCCGGTTCACACTACTACACGGTCTTATGAACAGGAATATAGGTTTATCACTTGTTTCCTGTTTAGGATTGGGCTTTCGGTTCGTTCGAACGAATTTTCATTCTCTTTCATTCACAGCACTCACTTGCGTCTTAATGGAATTATCGCCTTGCTTAGGGTGAATTGATTAGCTAGATAGATAAACAGACAGATCGATAGATATGAAAATAAGATAGAGGGGCAGACAGATATGAAAATGTATTAAACTTACAGATATTGATGCTATAAGATAAATATATAGATATATATAGATAAGGAGATAGTTATCTATCTATCTAGCTAAATAGAGCCTATGAAGTCATACAGTACGAAACGCGTCACAAAAGAACTTTTTACAGTGTGTCATACATTTTCCACAATATTGTTCGTGGTATATAAAAATATATATTGTTATATATATATATATATATATATATATATATATATATATATATATATATATATATATATATAATTGTATTTACCCCAAGCAAGGCGTGATGCCACTATGTTATAATATTAATTTATGAATTCATTTTTTTTTTTATGTATTATTATTATTACTATTATTATTATTATCGTCACACACACATATATATGTGTATGTATATGTGTTTATGTATGAATGTGTATGTATGCGTATATGTGTATGCATGTGTGCATATTTGTATATGTGAATATATAGACATATATATATTTGCATATTAATATATATATATATAATTAGATATAATATATATATATATATATATAGATAGATAGATAGATAGACAGACAGACAGACAGACATAGATATATATATATATCCATATTTAGAATTTTAATAACCTAAAATTGTCCTTTATTTATCTCTTAATTAAATTATTTTTTGCTCATTTTTAGAAATTTTTAATTTTTATAAAATTTTTTATTTTACTTAACTTTTATTTTAATTTTTTTTTATTTAAACTTACATTGAATTTTTTTTTATCTTTCTTCCCATTTTTCTTTCTCACTTTTAACTTTAGAACTTTTTTTCCTTTTCTTTTTTCCCGCTTTTTTTCCTTTACCTTGTGTCTGAAATTGAAATCCATTTATTAATGAAAAGACACGTCTGAAGAGATGGACATGAATTCCATGAAAGAAATTTATTACCACCTGACCTGATATATTTTTTAAGGATTCTGTATTCTGTATTCATTATTATATATATATATATATATATATATATATATATATATATATATATATATATATATATATATATATATATATATATATATATAAGTATAGGATTGGTGTTTCCGAATAAATTCAAATAACCAAAAATACTATTATTAAAAGAGTGCTCAATACAGAGCAAATATAATTTATTCGAAAATTCCTAACATAAATATGTTATAAAATCACTACAAAAATAGCCTTTCACTTCTGGTGTCTTATCAAGTGATGGTGTTGAATGTAGAATAAATAGTTTTAGAAGGTTCAAATCAACCAAACATTCCTTGATAGGGAAAACGCTGTTACATAAGCTGCAATTACCAATCAAAATACAAGTATATGAGAATTCAAAAAAACTTGCAAATGAACCTTGGTTATAATAATTAGTGCCTTAACGTTAGGGTTAGACTAAAATAGAAATCATTCTAACTAATTAATATTAAATTTTACTATAAAATTGAAAATTAAAAATTACCAATTTTAAATTTAATCTGTTTTAAGTTTAAAATATTATAAAATTATTCAAAAATGAAAGTGAGGAAAAAATCATATATTTTATTATTTATTTTGTTTTAATTGAAAGGCCAAAAACTCAGAATAAACGTTAATCTAATATGGATGTAAAGCTTCGTTACAATTTAGATACATTTGAAATGGTGATATGAGGAGGGGAGGATAAAATCTTGCGAAAAACAATATATACACAATCAGATTATAAGACACAAACACGTAGACATATTTAGATATATAAACACGCAAAAAGTGCTAACTCACTCATGTCTTCTCTCTCCCCCCTCACTTCGTAAATGTTTAATACGGCCCGTCAAAAATGTGTAAATTTTTTCATTTTTTCTTTGGAAGTAAAGTCTGATGATCCGCAGTCCTTTAAAAGGGCTATGGTGAAATAATTTATTACATGGAACCTTAAAATGGTCTGTTTTTATTTAAATTATTTTCTCTGGATTTACATTGAGCTCTCTGGATTTTATACTACTTAGGTTTACCCATACAGATTACCTAGTTTTTCATAAACTAGGACTCGATTCGTCTTAACGTCTAATTTCCCTTCGTCCATCCTGTGTGCCAGTGGCTTAGGAGTAGAATCTCCAACTCATACCAAATCAGTTTTGATCCCGGCTTGAGGCAATTGCATGTGTAGCCACACTGATGAGCTGAAAAACAGTCTGTCTGTGGATGACTATATATATATATATATATATATATATATATATATATATATATATATATACTAGCAGTAGAGCCCGGCATTGCCCGGGGATGTAACAGTAAGAGATAGATCAAGTATCGACCATCATAAAGACGGACACGCATGTCTTAATTAATTTTTTTTTTTTTTTTTTTACGAATTGGTCAAACCCAAACTCAAACTAAAACATTGTTTACAATCGTTATGAGTCTATCGATTGGTGAATAGAAGTTTATTATAAACAATTGTCTTGTAAATGGAATTTTTAAAGCATTCTGAATGTAAATAAAGAAAAAAGTGTGCAAGACAATAAGAAATACTATCTGCCAAAAAAAAAGTGGATGTTTGTTTTATCGGCTGAAAAATGTAAGAAATCCGATTCCATATATAAACGAACACACACACACACACACGCACACACACACACACACACTGGGTTTTTTAACCTAAGTCACTCCACGGAATCGCTAAAACATAGAGCATAGTCTGATGAAAAAGACGATAAAGTTTATGAAAACAAAATTTTATCGTCAAAATGCTTATGTTTTTATGAAGAGGATAGACTAAATTTTTTTAATTATTTTAAAATTTTTCCATCTTTTTTAGAATATTCTAAATTTTGATTTAAAAAACCTTGTTTTCTCTTTGTCGCAACAAGGTGTAGTAAATAACAGATAATTTTTTAGCGCGTTTTTTGTATTTACACACATTAATTTGGAAAATCTTGCAAAAATAAAAATAATTGTCAGATGTTAATGAAACTTTCAGAAACTATTCACAGATGATCAAATTATTATAAATATTTTTTTTTTATTAAAGTCATGGCAGAAATATTTTTTTATATTTATTAACACCCTATAACTAATTTTATGAAAAACTCTAGAAATTCGAGACCATCGGTTTTAGTGATTACAATAGTTAAAAGCACAAGGCTTTGAAGAATGCAAATCATGTTTTTTTTTTTTTTTTTTTTTGGCCAACGTACCTGAAAATCAGCTGTGAATTGTAACATACAAAAACTCAATAAAACAAATATATTATTTAGTTTCAAATGCTTTTATTTGTTTTAATTTGTTTTTATGAATATGGACAATATTTTCTGGAAGCAAAATTTTTTTCAATGAAAATTGAATTTTTAATACAATTATTTCTTATTTTTTAATTTTAAAAAGATTTTTTAAAAATGTTTAAATTGAATTTTAAAAATATTTTAACATTAGTTAAATGCAACATCAACCTTTCAAAATGTCCGTGTGAGATTGTCATTGTCTAGCGCATTGAAAATTGTATAATTTGGACCAATCAAATTAGCCATGGTAATTAAGAAATGTAATTTTTGTGTTTATAGTCGGACAGTAATTATCAAGTACGGAAGACCATACAGAATACAATTTAGTTGCATTATTTGAGTTCAGCATTGTTCTCCGCTGTTAAGCCCTTTACTTTTGCGAAACACGTATGGAGAAGTTAATTTGAGTTTTCAATTTCAACTGAGAAGGGTACCTACAAGTAACAGTATCATCTTATGAAATATAACTACTGCTAAACTTTTATTTATATGATCTTATTTTTATATTAATCTCAATTATGACATTTTTCCATAAATGAAATATCAAAATTAATAATAGAATGAATGGAAATACAAATAACACAGTAAAGTGTAATAAATGTACATAAAATTATAGTATTTTATGTACACTTCTGATAAAATTTCATAAGAAAGGTACCTAAATTAATTAGATACCTTTTTCTTATGAAATTTAATCTCACTATTAACAGTCTTATTTTTTTAATTTCTTTTATATTTTCCATAAAGCATCGTAAACGTAAAAATGAAAGCTAAATACAAAAAAAATAAAAAATAAAAAAAATTAGAGCGCTGAAAGTTTTCCTTAAAAAAGTAACGAGGTAAATAATTTGTTCACTTAAATAATTTCACTTCCTTCAATCCGTAGAAAGAATTACCCTCTCGTAAAGTTATCTAAACGTCATGAATGTGCCTTTCGTCAATCGTCAAGCGACGCGAAAGGTTATGACCTGCTTTTTTTTTTTCAAATTACATTTTTTCGGCGCAGAAGCTAAGTTAAACGGTTCAAAATATTTTAAATAAACAGTATAATATCTGTTTTATTAAAATCAGTTTTGAAAAAAATGATAATTGATTTTTAAAAGAATATCAAAGTAAGATTTTAATCTTTTTTATCAAATCGAAAAAAATGATTGAAAATGAGTATCTGTCCTTTTTTTTGACCAAAAAAAAAAACAATATTTTAACGAAAATTTCAGACGTGCTAGGAACGATTAAAAATGTAAAAAATACCCCCAAAATACTTTGATCTTTCCTCTTTAATAATAATATGAACATTAGACGATAAAATTTTGTTTTCGTCAAGTCCGGCGTCTTTTTCATCATGCTTTTGTTTACATTTTCGTGGGTGAGTTGTCCCCCTTTCATTCTCACGATGTGTCTTAATCGTGTTTTCAAATTGATTTTCTTAAAAAGCAACTGTGTTTTTCCCATTTTCGGCGCCGTTAGAACCACAAAAAGGTAATTTTATGTAGTCCTGTGAAGTTTTGTTGAAATCGGCTAAAAAAATGTAGAAATTCGATCCAATATATAAACGTTACAGACACACACACACAACCTGCGTTTTATAATAAGTAAGATATATATATATATATATATATATATATATAAGTGAACATAGGAGTCAACACTTAGAGGCAACAGTCTGTTTCATGCTAGATGCAATCTTCAGACCACGACGATTGCATCTAACATGAAACAGACTGTCACCTCTAAGTGTTGAATTCTATGTTCATTTTTATATTTACACACGCTCTATCTCTGATGTTGAGCCCTTTATCCTATAAATATAGCACATCTGAAGTCTATGTTTCTTAAATGCACATCTATGTATTGTGTATGTGGGTGTTTTCAGGATGTTAGCGATCATGCTACCTGTCTCTTGTTGCTGTAACGAATAACTCCTTCTCCTTTATTTCTGTGTTGCCTCTCTTCCCATGCATTTGCTTGTAACTGAAAAGTACCTTAACAGCTTTTCTCTGTTTCGCCTGTCATCGATGTGTCCTGTTTAATGTTTTCCAAGCCCTCTTTCCTCATTATGTGTCTCAGAAATCGCATCTTTTTTCATTTTAGTTCTTATTTTCTTGCGACATTTTTAAGCTAACTAAAGATACTGTCTAAAGATGAAAAAAAAAAATACAGCGTAGAATAGGAGAAAAGGAGAAAAACTTTTTCTCTCAAAGAACAATTATGACAATTCACATCTCACCGCTGCAACAGGTAAGCAAATGGATTTTAAGATTCCAGTACATTCTTGCGAATTCTAAAGCAATAAAAGGTGAAATACTCCAGTCAATTAAGCTACGCTTCCTCATAGGCTCCTTTCACCCGAGAAATTAACCTTTTTTTTAATTCAGACTTTGTGGACAAACTATTTAGTTAAGGCATTTTATTTTGTATTTTTTTTTATTTCAATTTCGGGTTCAAATTGCACAACAGCACGGCTAATTTAACTTCAAGGAAATGACAAAAACGTCATGATTTTTTTTTTAAGTTAAATAAACCAAAGAACATACAATATGAAAAAATAACGTTGACAACAAAAACAACAAAAAAAAAGACGCAGTAATTTCTTTCTTTTCATTAAAAAGGAACAAGCAAATTTTCTGTGCAGATTTCTTCTCCATTCGTAGACAAATCAATTGAAAACAAAACTTCAGTTTCAACATTATTACACTATTTTATTTTCGATTTCAATTTCGTAAAAAAAAATATAATCTTAAAATATTTTTTATCCCCTCTTTCGTTTCCTGTTGATTTCCTCAATTTTTCCTCTGAATATATTGCATTTCTCAATTGTCGACTGAGTGAAATTAATGACTTGCCTGTAATTAGATGACAGAATTAATTTCCTTTTTTTTTCTCTTCATCGCACAGTTTTCATATCGGCATTTCATTCATATCCGGTAATCTCAATCAGCCTCCTCCTCCTCCTCCTCCTCCTTCTTCTTCTTCTTCTTCTTCTTCTTCTTCTTCTTCTTCAGGTCCTCTCGTTTTTCTTCTTGATATTCTTTATCACCTCCTCTTCTTCCTCATTCTTGTTGTTGCTCTTTTCTTCCATCTTCGTTCTCATTTCGAGTGATATAAATCTCGGTTGAGTTTATGCTTTGAAAGGATGAGCAACCACTTGTTAACCAACTGACTGGTGCTTTCAGCTGATGTTACAGAATTTTTCACTATTTTGTAGCGAGATCATTTCTCCTCCTCCCCCAAATTAAATCATCATCATCATCATTATTATTATTATTATTATTATTATTATTATTATTATTATTATTATTCTACACCTCCTCCCGCTTTATCTCATTCTTCATCTCCTCCGGCACTTCCCTCTTCATTTCCTCCTCCTTTTCCTTCTCCTTCTACATTCTTCTTCTTCTCTTCCTTCTCATTCTTCTTGAATGCGTTCTCTTCTTAATTCTCATACTCTTTCTTTTCTAGACACTATCCTTTAATACTTTATCTCTCTCTTCTTCATTGTCTATTTTTTATATCTTTGTGTCATCCTAGAGTTTCCTTGGCATTTTTCCTATTTTTCTCCGTTTAATTACTCTCCATTGCTCTTTTTATTCTTTCTCGACACTTTTCCCGCCATTTTCCTTATAATTTATGCATTTTTCTATCTTTCTTTCTTCCTCGTCGTCATTCTTCTCACTTTTAGCATCATCAACATCATCTTGACAATGATGTTGATCGCTATAGTCTTCTTCATCATCACCATCTTTGCTATAATCTTCACAGAAAGCCTATAATTCATCCTTACTGATCGCTTCTCCACGACCTTTTCTTCCATATCTTTCATTTATCATTTGATTCACAAGACTTTCTTGTTGATTTTCTTTTATTGTTCCTGTTTATCTAAATCCGTATTTCCTCGTACTGTGAATGACGCAAGCGACACGGGCACCTCAACAGAGTAATTAGTTCGGACCTCACTAGGTATCCCATACTTTCGGCCATGTGCCACATCTAAGCTTAGAAAAAACCACCATGACACCCGCTACACTTATCACTGCTGTTGAAAGCAAGCTGGTGTCGCCTAACATTATTGTTGAATTCCATCCACACTGGGCGTCGAGTGTTTGTTGGATCTTATGAAAGCTAAGCTACTCTTGTAAATGACAATTACATTCACCTGTTTGTTTTCTTTACTGTAAAAAAATGTTCTTTCGGAAATAGAGGTTATACTTTTATCTATTTTCTTTTTCCCTTTTCTCCATTTCTATTATTCTATGTTTGTCATATACTTTTAAATATGAATATTTTATATATTTTATTATTTTAAATATAACTTTTATATATTACTTCGCAAAGTAAGATATATTCACTATTTGAAATATTTGAAAAAAAAAATTAAATGAACATTTCCTTCATAAATTGGCTTGTTATAGTTAAGGAAAGTTTTACAATATAACATGACAATTTTTCTGCACTATATAAGACAATATTTCTAAACAACTATTTTTGATATGAAAATCAAAACAATGCTTCAATAAAAGAACACTAATAAAGGATAGTTAATTTTTTTAAATCAATATACAAATTTGTTAAACCTGAATAGTGATATCACCTAGAAGTAGATACTATATAATACAGGTATTGAGCGTTTATCGAATAAATTACTTTAAATAAATTTTGGGTCTTTTTAAAAAGACAGAATTCGTTGGATAATTCCGCTCCAATTTTGCTTTTATTCATATAAATTCCATGATATAGGTTTTACTTAATTAGCTGTTATGTTTCTCTAACTCTTCTAATGCATAACTAATTCTTATTTCTATTTTCCCATCTTTATTTTATCTTATAAATTTTCCCCTGTACTGTCATCCATGAAATAAAAATTATTGTTTGTACGGAAAATAAGAACCTGCGTACATCAAATTGTCTTTAAATTAAGTGGCAGCAGCAGAATTATCATTGAACCTTTAAAGGTTAGTCTTAAACATTAATTCAATACTTAAATGCAGCGATCAATTTTGAGTTCTTCTGTAGTTTATCGATGCCTATTGCATTTAATCCTCCCTAGTTATTGTGATGAGGGCCAAACCAAGAGTCCCCCTTTTCTGATGAATCCTAAAGTTTAACTTAATGAATGAATAAGATGCAAGTAGCAAGTGCATCGACTATTGCCTCTTTAAATACTAACCGAATTAACTGTGTCTTACTCCGTGTCCCGCACTTTTTGTAAGAAAATGAGTGATGCTAAATCATTGTTACAATGTGTGAAGAAAAAATGATGCATTTCAGTATTACACAATGATATTGTCGACGAGACCTCCATCTTCTGGTTCTCTCCTTTTACAATTTGGATGAGTCATTCCCGTGTTCAAATTTAAATGTAATTTAAATCAAAGGGAAAAAAATTCCAGTGGGTGGTTTGTGAACACCCCCCCCCCCCGCCGCCGCGAGACTCCCTTTGATCAAACTGAAATATACTTATCCAAGTACCCTGAGTAATTTAGTTTCAGAATATATATGTTTATATCTCCAAAACTTTAGGAGGAGCTCGATAACAAACCAGCAGACAGACAGAGGCTACGACTTTATTTAATATAGATTCGAGTTTAACCACTAACCTGGTATATGCGTTTTTACCGAAAGAGCTTTTTTCAGACATCGACGAATAAACACGTCCACAACATAACGTTCAAAGGCCAGCTACAGACGAGTTTATACGTCGATCTTGAATTGTTTTTAATGTCCTTCTGAGCTTGAAACGAGTCCAATTGTCATTTCATACCGCCTTGTGGAGGTGTTATCCACCGCACGGTTAACTCAAAGTTCCTCAGTTTCTTATTCTTCACAAACAAATAAAAAAAATCGTCTAAAAATGAAAATATAATTGACGGGGAATGGGTTAAGAAATTTAACAAAATGCTGCAATTTTAATGATAATGGTAATACCAATATTAACCTTTTCCCCATAAGGAAACATTCATTGACCGAGTAGCCAGTAATGCCTTCCATGACCGGACACTATGCTTACCAAACATTATGCCTATGGACAAAATGCCTACCGGACAACGGATATTATATTAGGTTGGTGCAAAAATAATGACGGGGATGTCGTTTTTTGACGTTTACGTCAAAAACGACATTATTATGTCATTATTTTTGCACCAACCTAATATTTACGTGTACTTTTCGTACCAGACAATATGGCTAAAGGACATAATGCGTAAAGAACTACAAGTCAGAGGGCTTCGAGTTGGTGTAATGGCTAGCAATTTTCTCTTGCTAGATCAATTGCAATTGAGTAGTGAGTTCGATCCTCACTGGGAGCTCCATTCCATTCGGCCTTGTGCCACATCTAAGCTACGCTTAGAAAAATTATTTGGGCATTTCTACGTGATGTTATGGTTAGCAAACTTGTCTTTCCGGATCAATTACGGCTGTGTAGTGAGTTCCATCGTCACTGGGTGCTCCAAACATTTGACCTTGTGCCACATCTATTCTACGCCTAGAAAATAATTTGGGTACGTGGTTTAAAGGTGAACAAGTTTGTCTCGGTAGAACAAATACGAGAGAGTAGATTGATCCTTACTGGGGGCTCCATACTTTCGGCTTTGTGCCACATCTAATCTTTGTTTAGAAAATCACCATACCTACCAGACATTATGGTTCACGGACATGATGTCTAAATGACTCCGGGCCTGAGAAGTTCAGCTTGGTGTAATGGTTAACAAGTTTGTCTTTCTAGATTATTTACAACTGAATAATGAGTTGAAAGTTCCTCGCTGGGTGCACAATGCTTGTACCACATCTAGGCTACCCTTACTAAAATTGCTAACGGGCTACAAGCGGGGTTTATATGGACAACATTTTTACTTTATTTAAATTCATCAAATATTTTGATATAAATGAAATATAATACGTTAGATTACCCAACTTTAGAAAACTCTTCGAGTTGTTAACAGTCCTCGTTGCAGCGTTTCCACTCAAGACAAGCTCGAAATAGGCGACTCAATTTTGATGGGAATCTGTAAAAAGAATTTCTAAATACGTCTTTAAATATTAAATATAAAATACTACAAACTGATACGCGAACGTGTATTGCACTAAAAAATGGTGCGTTCCAAAAACTAACTATCAAATGTACTAAGTACTAAAAGTCAACAGTCTTTGGGATCGTTAAGTCAATGCTAACGATCCTTTCCTTAGTTGCATAGTATGTGCTTCGCCAGGGCTACATAAATTTTGAGTTCAGAGTTTTCCTTCCCCTAGACTAGTAACCACCTAAGACTATAGAACTCAGCCTGTCCTACTATTTATCCATAGCTTGGGGGGAGTTGGATTTTAAAACTAAACGTACTCAGTACCAATATGTACTAAGAAAAGTGCAACATACAAAAACAACTGAGAAACAGGAAAAATTCGTTAGAAACAAAGAAAAGACTGCTAAAAAGACTGCAACTATCAATTCTCTTGTATGGCAGTGAATGTTGGAGAATTTCTTCACAAATGAATAAAATACCTGAGTCAACAGAAATGTGGCTCTACAGAAGAATGATGAGAATATCATGGGCGAAACGTGTAAGAAACGAGGAAGTTTTAAAGAAAATGGAAACGAAAAGGATACTTAAACTGAGAATCAGTAAGAGACAGCTGAAATCTTTGGACGTATAATAAGGAAGCCAGGCTTTGAAAATTTGACACTTTACACGACATATTGTAGTAAAAATCGATTCACGCAAGCTACTTAACGGGTTTCTGTCAATGGAAGACGTACGTGGTTTAGGATGCTTGGCAAAGGGTCAAACAATGTCAAGGGATACAAAGTATAAGAATTTGGGAAAGCCATAATCAGCACATAAAAGTGAAGACCTCTACCGACAAAGATGATGTCCAATAAAAAAATATTTTGTAAAATCTTTAGATAAGTAATTTTTCAGATGGAAATTTGTAAATAAAAGGTGTTCATATAACTTGGACCGAGTTTAAATGTGAATTAAGTTTAAGCGTCTAATGATTTTTTTCTTTTTCTTTCAGATTTGGCGGACATTTAGGCGATATTATTTTTCACACATAATCACTAGGAAATAAATAAATTTTCATAATCAAATAGAGAAATAAATAAATTTTCACCAATAACACTGATTTATTTACTGCTGACTTTTATCCGTCTTAATGAAACACCCTTTATATGCTTTATAATTTCTATATTTATATATAGTAATTTTGGGGGATCAATTTATTACCTGATAAGAGAAAACTGACCCTCACTTTATGTTCAGCAGTGATTTTCATTGGTATTATTTTAAAATTACAATAAAATGTGATGGAGAATATACAATTGATATTTTGTTTAGTACTAATATCAAGTTTCTATATCTGAACCTTTAAAAAATATTTCAATAATTATATTAATACATAGTAATCTTTGAGGAACACTTTATTAATTAATAACAATAGAAAACAGAAATTATGTCCAGTATAATTTTGGTTTAATACTAGTTTACCCATGATGTCAAAAATGGTAACAAAAATTGAGGTATTGTTAAATCTTTACTAAGGTTTTTTTTTTTTTTTTTTCTTTTTTCAAATTATTATTTTGTAATGAATTATTGCACGGATAGTTCTTTACATGACCCAACTTTACAAAACGTTTCGAATTGCCCGCCTTTGTCATAAAATTGATACTACAATCCACCGCCACTGTTCAAGTGAGTCAGTTCTATTAGATTATTTGTTTCTTCACTAAGGGTGTTGGAGGTAAACGTTTTATGGATCTGGGCGTTATCCGCTTAATAGTAAAGTGACTTAAAAAATAGCTACCCTATCAGCAGATGTATAATATCGGAG